AGCTCACTGGATGAGAAATCCTTTGGACTGATTTTAACAAAGGGACACTACAGGTTAGTGACCAAAGCAGCATGTGAGAGGCTTTGCAACATGTAAGTAAATGCTAAGGCCTGTAGTCAAAAGGGTGTTTGACAATTCTGTACCATCTATCCTCAACACAGCACGATCTATGATTGTCTGTGTTTCCAGAGGAATTCATGCTGCTCTTCCTGCAGTATGGTATGTATTCATTTATATTCATAGTATGACGGATAGTTATTTATCTTCTGCTATGTTGCACTGCCAGTTCTTTAAAATGTATTCCCTGCTCCATAACTCTCTTCCTATGGATGCAGTCCAACGTTTTATTCACTTGGATCAGAGGGAGTCCCATAACTTTTCTCCTCCCCAGTAAAGCCCAGTAATTATTACACGCTAATAGCTTTTATTGTATTGTAGCTGGAGGGTAGGCTGATGATGAAGGAGCCTCATTGCACAGGTCCGAAACCTACAACGAGTGCAAACAGAACTAAGCCACTGAGGCGCTCGTTCTTTCAAAGCAGCACATTGTAGCTTCCAACAGTGACTGAGCCAAATGGGAGTGCACTAAAGATGAATCTTATTCATAAATTATTTTACGTGACATCAGTATCAAATACGCACAACCTGCTCATTTGTACCCATCACTTTGTGACTGTTTAGAACAAAGGATACAAAAGGTATGAAAGAGGAAAGGTCTAACTTTAGCGAGTCTAGCTCTCTTTGATTAGAGCGCTAGTCACCGGGAGACATTTTGTATCTTAAACCTCAGTTACCTCCGTCTGGGGATTTGAACTTTGATTCTCGCTTGTTTGTTTGTTTGTCTGCCAGCACGATTACCGATTGCCAGTTTTCAGGAAGCTTGGTAGAAAGGTGGAGCATTGGCAATAGACGAACCCAATAAAGTTTGGTGCTGCTCTGTTTTGGATTCCAAAATCGAGCAGGCTTTTGTCCTCTGTGGAGGTCCGTGCTCTCCGAGTGCCTTTCTGGTTTTAATTTTATGGGTTTTTTTCTGCTATATTACTACTTTTCTTTCAATATATGACTTTTTGTGGGTGGAAGAGGGCACCCTGAGACCAGAGGCTGCTTTGGATTAAAATAAACCCACATCATTTCAGTTCGTGAGGATGAACTGCACTAAAATCACCACAAGTGCTCCAATCCTTTTACTCAGTAAAACTACAGAAGCGGCGTCATTCTGATGTATGTAAAAGTAGCTATTTTACAGAACAGCCCACTTGACTGCTATCAATAGAATATATTATTAGATCTATGATTATTATGTAATGTATTATTAGGGGGGCCACACTGTGGTGCAGTGGTCAGCTCTGTCACCTCACATGATGACTGTGCAAGAGGATTCTGAATAGAGTTTGCCTGTTCTCCCTGTGTGGGTTATGTCAGGGTACTCAGGTTTCCTCCCACAGTCCAAAGACATGCCTACTACTGTTATATGGTGCATGGTGGTCTGTCTTCCTATGACGGACTGGTGACCCGTCCTGCCCCACCTCTCACTTCATTGCAGGATAAAGCGAGTACAGCTAATAACCAGATGTATCATTAGACACTGATACATCTGTGTTCAAGGAGCATTTTACCATTGTAGCATGTTGTATAATTTATCGTCTTCGGGCCTCTAGCAGCCATTTAAATGAAATCATCTAAGAAGTTTACAGGGGTGGAACTGCTTACAGCCGACATGAAATATGGCAAGTGAAAAAGTGACAATGTGTGGGTGCGAGACAGAGAGAAAGGTTTGTTATCCATTTGTCATCTGTAACAATGCATTGCATTTTGTAACCTTGTGTTTTTCAAATGCGATATGGTAATCTGCAAAGTGACTCATAAGTAAAGATTCCCCGAAATGTGGTGGAGTAACATTTGAAGTCAACAATTCAACCAGTGATATCAGAGAGAGGGGGGGGGCTGCAGGCACAGTGGGAGGAAAACATGCAAAAAGATGCTGCAGCTAATTTAAATCTACACCTTGTTAACCACCAGACCACACTGCTGCTCATTTGTTCATGTTAAACACAAGACTGAAATAGAAAACACCTTTCAACAGACAGAAAACGACAGAAAAAAAAAAAAAAGGTCCACTGATTTGGCGGTAGCTTTCATTTAGTCCAATGCTAACGCCTGTTTGCTTCAAGGGTCAGTGCTTCTAAATTCCCTGTTTCTCCCTGCAGCAGTCGCCGCTCTGTGTGAAGACCTTCAGTCAGAAAAAGACTCCTGACAATCCTTCCACTCCCTGCGTCTCCTCAATCACACAGACAGGGGATTAGACTGCCATTTTTTTTTTTTTTCCTACTTTCACCGGCTGATTTATGTTGTGAGCCAAAGTCAGAGGCTAGGTGTGGATGCTGTTCAGAGCCAGTGTGCCACAAGCGTCCTTATTAATCTCTCCCTCAGAAAGTGGAATGCTCAGCACTAACCCGGAGGAGAAGCTCAAACAGCCATCTATCCTCCAACGAAACACAGACAGCAATTTGCGGAACTCGCTGTTTATTCGGCAAACTTTGTTTTTTTCCCTGTGATGACAGCCGGCCTCGTCTGCGAGAGCGCAGAGGGGAGGAGATGTTATAATCCAGCTGGAATGAAGACGTCAGCACGGGAACGCATTAGATAGTGAGACTGCACAGCAACCTGTACAGTAACTTTTAACACGGTCTTAATTAGTCCAATCAAATAAGCACTGTCTTTCTTGGCTCTGGTTGATTTATTGTTGTTTGTGTGGAACATCTGAGCTGCCAAAGGTCCAAACCTTTAATCTTCCCTCGCTGCTCAGTTTAGTTTCCATTTTTCTGAAGCGGCAGTCGGTTGCCAAACAACACAGCTTCTTCTCGTTATCTTTTTTCCCTCGTACTAGTTGGAGCTGCCATCATCTGTGTAACGTTGCCATGAGTTACTGTAATGTGATTACTTTCCTCTAAGTTTAAGAAACACGCTGGTCTCATGGTCAGCCTTTGACACTGAAGGCACAAGTTCAAGCTGTTGAGACCAGGACCATTATTTTTAATGGTGGAGCAGAAGATGTTTGTCATAGGGATGCACGCTGCAGCAAAGTTTGACCCCAAATATGTTTGTCTCCAGAACATGTGTCCAGTGAGTTTGTGGCATCCATGTGAGGGGATATTAGGGTTCAACTGTGTTATTGTAGATAAAAATGACGGTTTTTGCAACTCAACTCTGCTCAGTGATTCTACTGGGACTTAAATAATATATGTCAACACTGGAAAAGGGTATTATAGAGGATAAGGACACCTTGTTAGGAAATGGAAACTGTCTATTTACATCCAGATGTAGTCCACAGCATCTTAGTTGGCTCTTTTGTGTTTCATTTATGTGGAAATAGACTGTAGTAACATATTTAATATACTTAAATACGTTGGGAAATATGCAGTGGGGTCTAAAAGTCTGAGGCCGCTAGAAACGATATGACTCTTTTGCATTAGTTTCTAATTTAATTTGGAATTCTCCATTATAAATGATAATATCAGCTTAACAATATGAATAAAAAGTTGAATCTCTGGAAAATATAGATGAATTTTGGAATATCTATACCCGTTCACGTGCATGTCAGGACAGTTTGTCTTTCTTAGTCTCCAAGGGTCTTATAAATGTTGAGTGGGGTTAAGGTCAGGTAACTGTGGAGCAAAGTCCACGACAGTCAACAGTCCATCTTTGGTCTTCAAGTCAAAGCTTTGAGGTGTGTTTGAGATCATTATCCCACAACAGTATGTATCCTTCCCACAAAAGACACAAACCAAAAGGTGTCCCTGAAGAATGGACTTCTCTTTGGTCAGGGTTGTTCAATTCTGTTCTCTTCAGCAAGCACGGACACAGAATTTATTCTTTGAGACCCAACAGGATAACTCATTTATTAAACTCATTGCAGTACTCCATTTGCTGCATGGCCATTAATGGATGACTTGCTTGGCGTACACCTGCCGAACATGTACGTCACTCTTTTCCATCCGTGTGGCAACTACAACTAAACAATAGTTCCTATTGTTACAAGGATGGAGCTGATTTGTTGCTTGTGTCCAAACTCCCCAAAGACTCATTGGTCTCCTTACATACACCTTTTGTTACTGCCACTCATCTCTAACAAGGATTCGTCAGTAAACAGAATTTTTTTCCACCATCAGTCCTACCCAAGTGTCTGGCCTTGTTTCCCCTCATGAGAAGTACTTCAGAGACGATACCCATCCTTCGACTACACGACCCTATTTTGACAGCACTTTTGTGATTAAAGAGTTTTGTCGTCCGTATTTAGAAAATTCTGCATCTGAAGTTGAAGTTGCTTTCTTATCTCCAAGTGAACAAAGCTTGATTTATTGATCTTGTGATGGTGTGGTCTCCTTTGGGCTGCCCGATCGTGCTTTGCATATAACCGATAGAGAGTGTTTAGGAGTGCCATGCACTGCCCACTGAGAAAGCCCCTCTTTGCTCAGAATAACAAACTGAATTCCCACACTTTGGCTTAGGTCTGATGCCATGTTTCCTTCTATCACAGTGCTACTTAGTGAGCGATGTTCCGCTGGAAACTTGAGGCAAGGCCATGTTTCTAACAGATGAACAATCTCTGCAGGTTGATTGACTGGAAAGAGCCTCTGGTGTGTCGACCAAATCCTCCAGAGTGCCATCTGAACAGTGTACAGATAAGACTCAAGGAAATTAACATGGTCACTGCTACTAATCTGCTTCATTTTGACTGCTGACCTTAAAATAGAGCACAATCTGAAATATTTCCTCTCTGTTTTATGTCAAAACTTTCTTGTGTTTTTATATAAATCCTCAAACTTGTTGGTTATTTCCAGGTTTAGATGAAAATATGACTTTATATGACACGGTTTTCTATGCGGATTTTTTGATTCCATTGCATTTTAAAAATGATGAAAGCAACTGGAATTAATGTTCTCACATTGTCATTTGAGTGCCATTTAAAAGAGGATTCTTTTGAATATTCTCTCTTGCAGTGGAGCTGAAGTTCAACCTGGATCAGTATGTGAACAAACGCTACCCGGGCCTGGTGAAGATTGTGAGGAACAGCAAGCGGGAAGGCCTGATCCGAGCAAGAATACACGGCTGGAACGCAGCCACGGCTCCTGTCGTCGGCTTCTTTGATGCTCACGTCGAGTTCAACACTGGCTGGTAAGGAAAGGTCATGTTTAACACAAGGAGGTCTAAGCTGTTTCTCTGTCCTCTCTCACCTTTGCCTTTGCGCTTTGCTTTTCATGTTTTTTTGGTACAGAGGCATGTCGAGTACGATTATTATCATTGAAATATGCAGTTTGGTCTGATCTAAGCATTTTTGATATCACGTCAGGCCAAGTTCTAACTGAGACAGCGCTTTTTTTAACAGAGTGACCCTTATTATTACTAAGGGTTTATCACCAGTAGGCTTTTCTCTCTCCCATTTCCTCTTAAACTGTGAGTAATGGGTTTTGTTTAGAGCTGGATAAAAAGACATCCCAATTAAAATGACACTACCTGTCCAGTACATACACACTTATGACAAGTGAGCGAGCCAAACACTGTGAAAGGCAAGAGTGAATGTAATTAAAGAGGGAGCTCAAAATGTTGAGCATTTCGACATTATTTTACTTGCGGGCTCTGGGCTCATTTTGTTATATGAAATTACTTCTGGGGGTCTCAGTCCAATGTCTGCCTGCTGCTTAAGTTTGCCAGCAAACAAGTCACTCAAATAGATGTAATTGGCACCTAATTTGAGCCTGTCATGCTGTCAGTGTTTGAAGATGAAGTGTAGCTTTTGTTCCCTGGGAAGCTGCCTGGGAGGCAGCAAGGTGACAAGGAGGGATGAAGGAAGAGGGCTGGAGGAGGAGAGCGCAGAGAGATGGTCTGGTTTTAAATTGTAAATTGCAAATACAAATTGCTTCTAGTGTGTCTGCATGCAGGTCAGCCTCTCTGGCTAAACAGATGCGAGAAATGTCAACAAATATAAATAATTCGGACAACCTGACTGACGGAATTTGCCGCAGACATCAGTCAAATGGAAACGCAGACATCATAGACGCGCCTCTGCAGTTAACAGAACTGCATCTTTAATGTGGTGGCAAGATGAATACATCTCTGAGGCACTTCTTGTATAACTCAGATTTATTTCAATATATCATTCTCATTTTATTCATCAACACTTCAACTCCACATTCACGTATTGTATACATGACTTCCTTTTGAAAACGATGCAATACAGCTTATGTTTGTCAATTACTGAACATGTTTTTATTTTAGACACTTCAGACTAACTTTGCATTTATGTGGAAGCCTTCAGACTACATACACAACCTCTGCTTTATCTTCCACTGTAATTATGACTTCTCACATATTAACAACTACATGGCTTTTGTTGAGCCTCTTTCCTTATTTCTTTGTGACAGTGAGGTTCATGTATAAATCAGAGTTTATTCTTCGATTAATTCTGTTACATGTTTGCAACATGGTATTTAGTGTTAGGCTTAACTTATACAATCACCGATGAGGAGAGACAACAGAAGGAAATAATCTACAGGAGATAAAACAGATTGGAACATTTTTGGGTGTAGGCGGAAATACAAATACAGTATGAATATGTTTATGACCAACACAGATATTAGCTTACTCCCACTAAATGCTGCGATGCTCACAGATTTGTTACAACAACGTCCTAATACATGTATGTTTATTATATTGACTGGCAAGCTTGGATAGTAACAAAGTAATAAAATTACAATAAAATACTACAAGTTGTTAAATTTACAGTTGAACGAATATGCAATTACATTGTGCTTACATTGTGACTAGAGATCAAGATGACTCCATTACATGTTGACCACAACTTAAAGATATGTCAGTTTTAATATTATGAAGCTTATTTTTGTGTTATACTGTCAAAAGTCACAGTCAGAATGAGTTACTCTTCCCTGGTTGCCAGTTTATAAATGGTGACTTAAGGAATATTTGTTTTTGTATGCTGATTTATTGATAATGGAATATATTATCCCTTTCTATTTACATTAAAAGCAAAATATGAACAAGTAGTAAATAAGTTCTCCTGTAGCAATACAAAGTCCTCCATGTGGCTACTGATTAAAAAAAAAAAAAACAGCAGCAATTAAAAATAACACAAAAGAAACACGTTGTCCACATAGTGCACATGGAGTTAACTGCATGGCAGCAGTAGTAGATATTTAAAGAGAAAAACTGAATGTTTGTGGAATACTGTGACTGCAACCTTTTTTTTGTATTATAACAATTCAGATTCAATTACTTTTTTTTGTTTTGTTTTTTGTCACACAATGAAATACTAACAGCAAAAAATGCCATGCAGTTTTGTGACTACATTTCAAAGTGACCCAGCTTGAACCTGTTATCTAGTTCAGTATATCAGATGTTCACTGTTCTGCTTCTTTTTTTTTTTTTCATGTTGACACAAAAGCAGTAAAAGTCAGGGTACATGACCTTAATAATAAAAAAAAAGGATAAACATACTACCACTGATTAGTCAGCAACCAAACCATGAACCTGTGACCTTTACAAAAGGATGATTTAATGAACCTGGATTACTGCCTCTCGGCAGGCTGTTCATGGCATGAATGGGAACTACAGGCCCAGAGGCCGTGCAGGCAGGTCACCCAGCCAACAAGCAGCACTCAGGGACAAAGTTGTATCATTGCTTAGGTGCATCACTGATGATAATTGATACCCCGGTGGTTCCCTCATCTGTTTGCCCATCTGTTCTTGTTCTGAAATAGACGTGCTTTTCATGCTCCCACATAACCCACTCACCCCAGTGCAGGCTTCAGTTATCCGGCTCGCCCTCCTTGTACATGCCACGGCCGTGTCGGTACGTTTCCTTTGAGTTAGCTCTCCTGCTGCCGTTCTGTGAATTTTACACAACTCTCTCTTCTGCTTCCCGTCACAACACACACCCTCTCGCCCACGTTTCACCTCCATCTTCCTTTGACAACCTGCAGCTGTAGTTTTATTTATTTTTCTCTTCTTTCTTTTTTTTTTTTTTGATTCTTCAGATTTGCTTTTTGCGTGAGGTTTTATTTACCGGAGTCAATGAAAAGCAGAGCAGAATCCCTGTGATTTTTCCACAAGTAGTTTTGAGGTAAAGGGATATAGCGATGGAGATGACAAGCATCCTGAAGCAGCTTGTTGGTTCTGCTTAGATTTCTTTGTGTGTGTGTGTGAGTGTGTGTGTGTGAGTGTGTGTGCATTTATCTACTGTATGCCTGCAAACCTTCTGCACCTTCCTGTTTGGACAGATTCACTTGTGGTATCTACACTTTTTCTATTTGTTAGAATGGGAAAAGAACCTATTTATCATAATATGATTATTCACCATGGCACATACAGTGATAAGTGAGATGGATGGTTCCTGTAGACGTTGTGGTGAATCTCCCTCAATGACCTTGTACACGCTGCCTGTGCATACTGAGCCACAGACAATGCTGCCAGCACTCAGCTGCAGAGCCGTGATTCATTGGCATCGTGTTCCCCCTGGGGTGCTGTACATTTGCAGCTGAAATGCATTCCTAGCTCGCATTACTGTTAAAGCAAACATAATTGTATCATACTGTATGGTGCACTTGATAGCCGTTTCCCCTCACACCATGTTGGTTTATGACGAGTTAAGAGGCGAGAGGTTTCCACACAGGGAGTGATGGAGTCGGAATTTCACGGCTTTGCTCTGCTTTAATACGAGGATATGAAATCGTTGCCTATCTTTAATGCGGTGTTGCATCAGCTTAAACGTTCACAGTCCATCTCCTCCAACACTTGTAACCATCCATCCCTGAGACAGCAGTTGTCCATTGTGGCAAACAGGACCTGTTTCCCTCTGCGGGCTTTGTAAATAAACAGGCCTGATAGCAGGAAATGAGAGTGTGTTGTAATTAGGAAGCTACTGTATGCCACACTTCAACCACGTGGTTGCAGAGGGGAGGCGCAGGAAAATTGATATTTATTTGGTTTTTGAAGCCCCTGCACAGTTGCAATCTCAGGTTATTAACGATGAATGATTAGCGGCGTAGCAGCTGCTCCATGCTGAGTGTGCACTGGAGATAAGATTGTCATTGCAGGGAGGTTGTAATGAAATACATGCTTCAGAAAGCAACACTTTGATGAATGTTGAATGCTCCGCTGCTATATGACCTGCCGAGTGCATCTATCTCGACAAAATAAAAAAGACAAACTGGTGGAATTCATAAAAGTAAGAAATGGATTAAACCATCCTCTGCCTCCTGCAATTATAAAATATGTAATATTTGTCACATTTATGGTGGATATTGGCTGCTTTGTTAATATCATGGCGCTCTGTCTGCTTATTATGCCATGCAGGTTCAGTGGCATTATATTAAATTCAGCGGGACATAAATTCTTGAAGGCTGAGGAAATGTTTTTTTTTTAGCAAAAGTAAATCATGTTTTTCCTCTCGCTCACAGCATCTGGCAGTGGCTCAGTGTTTATATCTGTCTGGAGATGAGAAAGGAGGCTGCAGCCATACTGAGGGCTTCACAGAGCACCGGCCAGGCAGACCTCCAAAACCACAGAAAAGACAGGGATTTATGCCACCTTTACGTTTGTATCATATCAACCACATCCTCAGCAAATGCATTTAGAAGTAGTGTGGAATCTAACATTGCAACATAAGAATCTTTTCCAGTTCTAGCTTCTGCATACCACTATCTACTTCAAAAAAAAAAGCCCCGACGCCGTAATGAATTGAAATTCTGTGTGGTTACCTTAACCTTCTTTGAATTCTGCATCTTTTATGGGAGACTGGCCAATATTAATATGTGCTCGACATATACATGTCTGAGCTGTTCTGTGAAACAGTCAAGCAAAAGGACTGTAGACAGGCACACATTGAAAGATTTAATGTGCTTAAAGATTGCTAGAGGCACTGCAGGCTTAGATTCAGCATCATGCATAGGCAGCAAACGCAAATTAACACTGTCAGAGTTCATTTTAACACTTTCCAACCGTCTAAATGAAATCCACAGCACAGTGTCAGTTTAAGTCTTTTTAAAGTGTTGGAATTAATTAACACTTTTTAGGGTAATTATCAAAATGTAACAATCCTCGAAACTAAACAGTGTCAGCTGTTCTCTGAGCTGGTGGGCATTGTTAGAGAGGTGTTGTTT